CTGAGTCATCCGAATTAGGTAGGTGTAAACAATGCCGATCTTTTGGAGGGGGTAAGCCAAAATGCCCACTTTTTTGTTGAAATTTTTGGTGAGAACTAGCTTTAGCAATTATAATCACAATCATAATTATTTAATTATAAAAAAAAATTAATTATAGAGATTACAAAATTATACAAACTGCAATAAATAGAGGGAATTGTTATTTCCACCATGGATTTTTGTTATTTCCACCATGGTTATATAAAATTTTCTATTTTTAGATTTAGCTTTAAGTTTTGACATTACTCTAACCCTAACTCTAAAACTAATAAGTAAACTTTTCTTCTAGCTTTAAGTAAAGTTGTAGAAGAGACTTTTCTGGTTCTAATGGTAGTTAGATCATCAAAATCGGCCTGGTGGATCCCAAGATATTTGGGGCTAAAGGTGCGAATATAAAGATCTACAAATTACTATTATACAAAGTATTATAACTACAATACTTTGTGTAATGTAAATTTGTAAATCTTTATATTCACGCCTTTAATCCCAAATATCTTGGGATCCACCAGGCCAATTTTGATGATCTAACCACCATTAGAACCAGAAAAGTCTTCTCTACAACTTTACTTAAAGCTAGAAAAAAGGTTTACTTATTAAGTTTAGTGTTAGGATTAGAGTTAGAGGTTAGGTTAGTGTTAGAGTTAGTATTAAGGTTATGAGTTTTTTATATTATTATCTAAAAATAGAAAATCTTGTGTAACTCATGGTGGAAATAACAATTTCTATGGTAGAAATAACAACTCTCTAAATAGAATCTATTTAATTATATATTTATACTAATTTGTTTTAATTTTACAATATTTGTAATTTTACACAAAACTCTTTCTGATAATCATTTGGTTTAAATTTTTTTGAAAAAACTTCTTAACCAAAACAGTAAAAACCGATCTCCCAGCTTATAAGTCGAAGAAAAAAGGAACTGTAAGACAGCACCTGTCATTTAGAAGCAGTTCTCATATGCTACCTGCCGATAGTTTCAGAGTTTATCACTTACTACAGACCTAGTGCTTGTCATTTAGAGGTAGTTCTCATATGCTACCTGCTGACAAGTTCAAAGTTTATCACTCACTGACAAAATTCGAGTAGTGTACTGCTTGTATAAAAAGCTATCTTTGTTGTTTTTAGTAACTCACTCTTTTTTAAATGGTACTAAGAGGTCTCTCTTTCGTTTTCGTTTTTTGCCATTTTCACCAAAATTTTCGACAAAAAGTGGGCTTTTTGGCTTACCCCCTTCAAAAGATCAGCATTGTTTACACTTACCAAATCAGAACATACTCAGTAGAAGACAACCACGTGTTTTGTTGTTTTGCAAATACGATACTATAGTATGGGGAAGAGATCTTTACCTCTATTTAGGAGATACCCAAGTTGAGTTGGTGTCCGGAACAAGTCCCAAAGCTAAACCGAAAGTTTACAATCGAGATATAGTAATTAGTTGCAATTATTATATAATTTTTACCCTTATGCTTAGCATGGGCTACAATAGTGTATCATGGCTACCTTTCTTTTTTTTCGCTTTTTTTATCTTTGTTCATTTATGTTAGACTATTTTAAAATTTGTTGAAAAGTTCTTTTTTCCCACCGTGAGGTGTTTTTTTTTTCTAAAATGTTTATGTTTTTCATAAACATGCCTTTATTTTTTTCACTTTTATGTATGAATAAGGGTTTTAATTGTTGTTGTCGGGCTTAGGTAGAAGAAGTTTGAAAGAAGAAAAAGGTAATTATAACGGCAGTAGGTACTATTTGTTGAGATCCGGATCATAACCAATTGCAGGAGAGGTCCGGAAGGAGGAGAATTCTACTATAGCAAGTCGAACATAAGTACCAAGATGGTAACCGGGTTAGTCTTAACTTGTAATTTAGATAACAATTTGGGCTATGGCGCTTGTCGTTTAGAGATAGTTTTTATACACTATTTGCCGACAAGTTAAGAGTTTATCACTTACCTTCTAAAATACTCAGTTGTAAAATTTTACATATTTTAGATGAGTTGTACAAAGCCTAATAAAGTTAAGGCATGACTGCCAAATTATTAAAAAAAAAAAAAAAAAATATTTGTAATTTTTATTTAAATTTGGATTACTTACTAATAGTCAAGATGCTTATTACTTTTTTTTTTTTTTTTCTTTGATAACCATGCACTAATTTATTAAAATATTTGTAATTTACAATATTAACTATCTAATTTTCATATTAGGCCAATATCTGGCTGCTAAAAGTGCCCAAGTATGGTTATTGCACTGATATTTGCCAACTGGTTCTATATGTAGTGCTATCCATATTTAAAAACCCGTTATAGCATAGTATTTAGCTACCTAAAAAAAACTATTTACATAAAAAAAAACCAACTACAAACCAATTTTACTTTGACCACCAACTAGGTGAAAAAGAGTTCGAAATTTGTAACCAAATTGTTTCTTTTACCAAATTATATACCTTAATGATTTTTTCTTTGAGGTTTATCAAGCATGATTTTCCCTTCTCTTTTTTTTCTACTATACCTAATTCCTCTAAAGACTTTTTTCTTCTCTTACTTGAACAGTTCTCTGTTGTTTGGTTTTCTACTAGTCGAAACTTTGTTGGTCCATTTTCTAGCTCTGGGTCTTCTGCTCGTGAATTTTTTTCTGGTGCTTCGAACCTTTCTCTAGATCTTTTACCTCTTTTAATTATCTTGTTTATACCATTATCTTTTTCCTACACCACGAATTTTTTACATCTTTCTCTCCAGATTATTCTATAAAAGCATTCTTGAAAAACATAACAGAGCACTTTGTAGCATTGCCGGCTTGAAACAGATTTCTTGTTCATTTCTTGTAACTTCGTAAAATCGGCTTAACAGACCAAACTCTGTATGAGCATCTTTCTCTTTTTCAAGTATGCTTTTCGTGAGTTGCCAAGTACTATGTTTTTAAGATCTCTTAAAGTATACTCAAATCTTGTCGCTTTTTCAAATGTGGTCCATGCTAATACCAAAGCTTGCTTTTCTATTTCTTCCCAAATATCTTCATAGACTTCACAGCTAAAAAGATAGTCCAGATCTTCTATTTTATTTTCTTTACATATGACACAATTGGCTAAAAGATATACATGTAGGCTACACTGATGTAGTTTATCCAGTATTGGGAGTACTCGAAAAAGACCTTTAATTCGCTTGACAAGCTTATTACTGATTGCTAGTGACCTGCATCTCTGGCCCCTAAGCTCTGTTAATCTCTTCCAACATAAAGCCCAAGATGGGTTACTCTTGAGTTCCATCTTTCAAAGCGGCTTGTAGCTTTTTGACAAATACTATTCACTCTCTACAAACCTTTGTTTGACTTTTAGTATAAAACTCCGCAAAGGGTATTCTATGTTTTTATCTTGCCAGAATATATCAAAATTTTAGCAAGAGCGAATAATACTTGGCCATTTCTATGTATTATCAAGATATGCATCCTCTTTTGCTATGCAATCTGCTATTTCGTTCCACTTTATGCCTATATGTGCTTTAATCTTTACTAACTTAAGATTAAGTAACTTGAACTGAACTACTTCTACAATCTTGTCAAGTAATGCTCTATTTTTTCTTTTAAATTCTTTACTAAAGTTTTTTTCACTTAGTACACCTCGTAATGCCAAAATTGCAGCTACACTATCAGTTTTAATTTGCATACTTGAGTTTGAGTTTGCTGGCAACAGTGCACACAGTATCGCTAGAAGTTCTGGTCTTGTAGACAATGGCCAATTACTGATTCTGGCCCTACCCTTAAATATCATATCTTTCTCATCTTCTGTAACTTGAACCCAACCTACTCCCATTCTATCTTCATCACTCTTGTTAAACTTATTTGGAATCCATGAACCATCTGTATAAAAAATGTTTTCTTTTCTCTTATGCTTCAAATTAACTCTTAGCTCGTTCAAGATGCTTATTACTAAAATTTGAAATTGATGATACTAACTACAGGATTTTTGACTATATAAACATACTTGACAGAAACAATAAAACTTAAACCACAGCAAGTTAATAATGACTATTCAAGAAACTTGATTGCTATATGATTTGCAATTTGATTGGCTAATTCATCTTAGCAAATTATATGATATTTCAAATCTGATATCTTCTCAAATCTGATACAAAATATAGCCACTGTATATACCAGTTTTAGAAGAGCCAACAGTAATATGAAAACTAGTTGATTGCTATTTTAAACTCTTGAGAATAGACTTGATAATTAAAATTCTGATTTGAAATAACTGAAATTATGTAATATAATAAGAGACTAAAGTCTAAAATTAGTAAAATACTTTAGGAGTTATCTATATGCCACCCCGGGTGGCAAATTATTTTTGTCACCCAGTGATCGGCCAATCAAATTCGATCACATGCACTTATTTTTTTCAATAAAAAAATATCATGCAACGAATAAAAAAAAAAATAAAATAAAATAAAAAAAATGTAATAAAAGCATAATAAATGACAGAGTTGTATACCAAATTTATTTATTAAAAAAAGTGACAAAACTGTATCACTGAATTTATTGAATTTATTTATGAAAAAAAAATACAGTATAACGAAACCGTATCATTGAATTTATTGAATTTATTTATAAAAAAAAAAAAAAAAAAAATACAGTATAATGAAACTGTATTACTGAATTTATCGAATTTATTTATAAAAAAAAAAAAAAAAAAAATACAGTATAATGAAACCAGATTACCACAAATTTACTTATAGTAAAAAATACATCGCACTACTGCAAAAAATTCCCAACAAAAACTAACAAACAGACAATTACAATAAAACGTCAACAGCATGACAACTTCACAACAATGCTACACCAAAAACAGCGACTCCAATAACTCCAGTAACGACGGCTCTAATAGCAAAATCATACCCGGAGAAGCAAATATATAAGAAAAAAAAACTGCCCCAAGAAGAAGAAACGTCGACTCCAATAAATCCAGTAACAATGACTCCAATAGCGAAATTAAACCCGGAAAAAAGAGAAGTAGCAGTAAATATATAAGAAAAAAAAAAGATGAAAAACTTACCTGAAACCTCTAGTAATAACAGCAAAATCATACTCGGAAGAAAGAGAAGCAAATATATAAAAAAAAAAAACTAACTCCAAGATGAAGAAAACAGCGATTCCAATAACTTCAGTAACAATGGCTCCAACGACGAAATCAAGAAAAAGAAGCAGCAGTAAATATATAAAAAAAAAAAATGTTTCAAGACGAAGAAAAGGCGACTCCAACAGCGAAATCAAGAAAGAGAAACAGCAGTAAATATATAAGAAAAAAAAAACAGACACCAAGACGAAAAACTTATCCAAAATCTCTAGTAACGACAGCTCCAACAGCAAAATCACATCTGGAAAAAAGAGAAGCAGCAATAAATATAAAGAAAAAAAAATCTAATCTAAAAAAAAAAAAAAACAATAGAAACTTATCTAATTAGCCAATCTGTTATTAGGGGTGGCAAAAAAATTTTAGCCTATCTGGGGTAGTACACAGGATTTTCCAATACTTTATAAACATATAGTACTAAAAGGACCTCTAAATATATTATAAGAGATATTTGTTATGATAATTAATATAATATTTATTAAGTTCACTAGAGTTAATCTTTAGTATAACTGGAATTATAATATATCCCTTAATTGGTAGAGATTTGCAGACAAATTTGGCTACATAATTACTATAAATATGTCTCTAATTTACTTTTTTAATTATTTAAAATATTTAAATAAAATTTAATATAATAATATTTGAAAATAAGAATTATATTTTTGCAA